TATATATATATATATATATATATATATATATATATATGTAAAATATAGGTGTATATGTATATATTATGTATGTTTATATATATATTTAATATGTATTTACAATATATATTCATTTAGCTTCAATATTCTTAGGCTGTCATAATAGTGAAACAACATGAGTATTAGGTAGCTTAAACAACAATAACAAAAAATATCTTCTCTCAATTCTGAAAGATGGAAGTTCAAGTTATAGAAATCAGCCTTTTTGCTATTTCCTCATATGGCCATCTAACCTCTTAATACTTTCTGTCATGTAACATTTCTTAAGTCAGTTACTTTGAGAGTCTTCATTTGTCCCCCCAAATGAATCTAAATACAGATTCTGTATGCTTCTTCATAAGCTTTTGGGGAACCATTAAGAAAAGAATCCCTGCTGGAGAAGGAACCATGAAAGTAGAATATTAGATTCCTCAGATATTTTAATTGTAAGCCAGGGCAATAATTATGTATCATATGGTGTCAATCTTTCTACCTAGATCTTATAAAAAGCCGCCTCTATTGGCTTGATTCCAAGTTGCACATGTTGTCCAGTGTGGATTTGAATGGCCAAGACCGGAGGATAGTACTGAAGTCTCTGGAGTTCCTGGCTCATCCTCTTGCACTAACAATATTTGAGGTAAGCTATGTGTCTCACATTTGAGTTTCCACCTTTGAGTCACTATAGCACTTGGATGAGAAAAAACAAGGATGGGGAAGGACAGGAGAGTATAGGACAGCTTGAAAAATTGCTTTCATTTAAAAGCTGGTACAAATTAGAAACTAATTCCTCAAAGCACTTCAAGAAACCTGAACTTGCTTCTCTTACAGTTTTACATCTAATGTCCCAGAGCAGCATTCAATAACCTTAGTCCATTAGATAGCCAGTAAATAATGATGACCCTAAATAATTGACTTCTGTTAATCCTGGGTGTGCATGCTAATTGTTGGGGCTCTGTTTCAGGATCGCGTCTACTGGATAGATGGGGAAAATGAAGCAGTTTATGGTGCCAATAAATTCACTGGATCAGAGCTGGCTACTCTAGTCAACAACCTTAATGATGCTCAAGACATCATTGTCTATCATGAACTTGTGCAGCCCTCAGGTAACCTAGAGAAACAAGTCCTTAGTGGTCACTTATTGGTCACTTCTGACCCACAACCTACTGGGAGTCAGCAGCTCTTGAGCAACTCTATAACTTTCTATAAAATGAAATGAAAATTTTGCCCTCCTGCACTCTACCTTAGATACCTCACACTTGATATTTCTTCCTTCTTAGGGAAATGGCTTCAGAATGTCACCTCATCTTTCTTTCAACCCTCAGTGTCAGACCTTGTGTTTCTAATTCTTCCATACCCCTTTGGTCCTTCTTGCTAAGCCTGTTGCACCAGTCTCCATAGTAGCTTCTGTGCCACAAACTTTCCCTACTTCTAGTTTTCTGGGGTTTCTTTAACAAAGTACCCCAGATTGGGTTTATTAAACAATAAATTTATTTTCTTACAGTTCTGGAGGTTTAAATCCAAAAATCAAGATGCTAGCATCTTGTTGGTTCCTTTTGAGGGCTGTGAGAGGGAGACCTGCCCCAGGTCTTTTTCCTTGGCTTACAGATGGTCATCTTCTCCCCTTCTCTTCACATCATCTTTCCTCTTCACAAGCCTATGTCTCAATTTCCTCTTCTAAGAAGGACACAGTTATATCGAATGAGGGACCACCTGATGACCTCAGCTTGGTTATCTCTGTAAAGGCCTTGCCTCTAAGGTCACCTACTCAGGTCCTGGAGGTGAGGATTTCAACATACAAATTTTAGACAGGGATGCAGTTCAACCTATAACACCTACCTTCCTCCTGTGACACATAAGATTGTGCAGATCCTCAAACACATCTGGCCATATTCCATATTTTCTCCTGTTTGAAATGCTCAGCTCATCTATCTAAATGAAAACTCAAACTTTCCTTCCACTGTATAAGAGCAAGTCAAGGTAAAACCAGGAGAACATACTTGGTCTTCTCCTGATATGGACAAATAGTGACATACCTAGCTGGGGACATACCTAGCATGTTCAATGCCAAGGTTCAATTCCCAGCACTGCAAGACAGACAGACAGTGAGAACTTCATCTCCCTTCCTTGCCTCCTTCCAAGACCTGCCTGTTGAAGACATAAGTCATATTCTGCACTCAAGGAACCTCTTAGAATCTGGTGTCCTTAGAGCATGCTGCCTGTGCCCTGATACTATTCATTTACTGGTCTTGAAGCTTTGACAGAGTAAGCAAGTTTAAGCTCCATGGAGAAAGAAAGCACTTGAATTCCTATTCTAAAGGATTTTATTTTCGACTAGGTAAAAATTGGTGTGAAGAAGATATGGAGAATGGAGGCTGTGAATACCTATGCCTGCCAGCACCACAGATTAATGATCACTCTCCAAAGTATACCTGTTCCTGTCCCAATGGCTACAATCTAGAGGAAAATGGACGAGAGTGCCAAAGTAAGGCTTTTTGCATTTTGACCACAAGCAGTACATACAAAAGGAATAAGACACTATCTATAAAAACTGGCCTGGATTTTAAGAATTCTGTTTTACCTAACCCTTGAAATAGATCAGACATGTGCTACTGTTGCATGCCACATGTTCACCTCAGAACTTCAGAACTGACCTGTAACCTATTTCAACATTAGATAAATTTATAGGTGACAAGGTGTCAATGTATCTCATACCAATTTGTGCCAGTTAACACTATACCAGTACTGAGCTAGTCAACTGGAAGGTACTTAAAGTCTTAATGTTTTCCTCCACAGAAGGCACACTGCAATTATTCTTAAGTAAGTCCATGGTTACAGGAAACCTGTAGCCTCAGTGGGTGACACTGGTTTAAACTCATACTGAACTTGCATGTTAATCCTCTGTTCTTGGTTTTTGATTAAGTAACAAATTAAACTTGCTTGTTGTGAGCAAGGAATATGACGAGGCTTTTATTAGCTTAATTCTGGGTCATGACAGACTTTATTGAGAAAATAGCTGCAGGACCATCTGGTAGGCCTAGTACATCAGAGCATCTTGAGAACACATCTTGCAACTTCCAGGAGCCTGGGTATTACTGACGGGGGTTAAGTGTGGCTGTGCATCTTTTTGAATTGTCGTATTCCATATGCAAACTGTTCTACCCAAAGCTTCATGTACTTCTGTTTTTGCATGAAGGCTACTATTTCTCTCAAGTTGGACACATACATCTATTTCACTTGATGTTACAATAACCTCTTGCATGGCTTGTCTACAGTAAACTGCTAGCCATTTGGGAACCTGGGCATTACCCAGGTTCTTGGTTTTTGTAATCCAGGTACTCCAACTACTGTGGCTTACAGTGAGACAAAAGATGCCAACACAACAGAAATTCCACCAACGAGTGGACTAGTTCCTGGAGGTATTGGGTTCAGTACTACAAACTGTTAATCTCCACTAACAGCCACACTCTTTATATCCATAGTGTACATAATTAATGCAGCCTTTAACTACTAGTTCTGCCCCTGATTGGTAACCTATATTTAAACTCTAAAGACTTAGAACCTGCATATCCTAGATCTGCCTGACTTAGTAATGCTTCTATTATAGAATTATGAGTGAAATGGCTCCTCCAGCCTGTGACTGAAATACTCCTAGGCCAGAGTTGTTCCTGGTATTCCATTATTTTAGTTACTAAACATTGATTTTGGTTGCAAAGGTATGAGGCTTCTACCTGATGGGTAAATTTCCAAGTCTGAAATCAGACTCTTGTAAACTGATTGATTTTATTCTCCTATAGGGATCAATGTGACCACAGCAGTATCAGAGGTCAGTGTTCCCCCAAAAGGAACATCTGCTGCCTGGGCCATCCTTCCTCTCTGTAAGTAGATTCCCTTCACTTGGAGATCTGATGAACATCTTAGACACCTGATGAACAACAGTGCTCATTTATTTAGAGCCTCCTTCCCATGGCCTCTTAGGTTGCCATAGAATTTGTGACACTGATTTATTCTTACTCTCTTTCCCCACCTGGTACACACAGAGTCCATATTTTCTATACATTGGTTTCCTTAGTACAGTAACAGGAAATGCTGATGTTCAATAATTTCATGAAAGGTGTTTATTGATTTCTACTTTAGAGTTTCTACTTTAGCCTGTTATCCTCATTCACAATAAGTCCCTTTAATAAGAGTTCTGTTCTATTCTCCTTTGAAATATGCATAATGCTTTATGCAGATGAGATGCACAAATGCTTAAATTCTTTCTTCAGGAGAAACCCAGAGAATCCTTAACTACTTTTAGTTTATATTCTGTAAGTCCTATGAAGCTGTTATAAGACATATGAATTCTAAGGCACTTTGCATAAATGGCCTCTTTGTCTTAGATTATTGGATTTCAACATTGCCTAACACACCAGAACCCCTGAATAGCTCTCCAGAAGCCTCTGCAATTTTAATTTAGTCTTCCTGGGAGTGGGGCCCAGGACTCTACACTTGCAAGGATGGTTGTGACTAGCTTAGTGTTTAGAATACTACAACCCACTAAGGTGATCTTATTTCAAACCCCTGGCTCATATATATTCCAATTTCTAGTTGTCCCAGTTCCCTAAAACATGAAACTTATTAAAGTTGGTTATCATGGATCCCTGAATATTGCCTTTCCTATGTGTTCTGAAACTAAACCTCATTTAGTCACCCTCTAACTTTTTCAGTGCTATTGGTGATGGCGGCAGTAGGTGGCTACTTGATGTGGAGGAATTGGCAACACAAGAACATGAAAAGCATGAACTTTGATAACCCTGTGTACTTGAAGACCACTGAAGAGGACCTCTCAATAGACATTGGTAGACACAGTGCTTCTGTTGGACACACGTACCCAGCAGTAAGTCAGCTTTGTGTCTTTCTATACCATAGCTTAAAGTGAGACTTTTTTGAAAAGGAGACCAAAACTTGAGCTCAAGCTATCTAGGCTAAGAAGGGCCTTAGGATCATGGAACCACCAAAAATTTCATCCACTACCAGATATCAGACAGACTAGCTTGTAAGTTAATAAGTTAATAAGCATCTCACCCATGCAGGATAGCAAGCAGGTCAACCCAAGGTCATCACTATAATATTTGAGATATTTTTAGTTACAGAAATGACATGTAAATATTAGTACAAACCAAGTAGCTCCTTGCCTACTGGACACCTAAAAGCAAATTAGTAACTCATGCATAGGGATTACCTATAAGGAAAATGACTTGAAGTCAGGGTATTGGGTAAGATTCACTTAGCCAAAATACTACTGGATAGTTTACTTATAAAGTACCCCATTCCACCAAGTATAGCTAGTTTTTCCTTCAGCAGTAGAGTCACTCACTTGTTCTTCAGGTGGAACCCATATCATTATGGGAACTTAGGGAACAGGATAAACAAAACATGTGCTGAGTACTCCCCTCCAAGCTTTCTGGTGAAACAGGTAATGGTCAATTCAGGGCATACATGTGTCTTCTCACACTATTTTCCAAGCATTATTATGACCATTATGTAGAAAAGCCAGAATAAATAATGCTATTTTCACTGTCTACCAAGTATGTATAAGTTGAGTATTCCTTATGCAAAATACTTCAAATCAGAACTGATTTGAATGTTGAGTTTTTTCAGAAATTGGAATATCTTCATATTCATAATGAGATTATGTTGGGGATAGACCCATGTCTGAACTCAAAATCCATTTATATCCCATGTATACCCTATACACATAGCCTGAAAGTAATTTTGTGCAATATTCTTAGCGTGTGTTCATTTTGACTGCAATCCTCTCATGCGAGGTCAGGTGTGGAATTTTCCATTTGCAGTGTTATGTCAGTGCTCACAAAATTCCAGATTTTAGAGCAATTTGAATTTCAAATTTTCAGATTAGGAGTTTAATTCAAGTTAAATGCATGAGTGCTACAACTTAATCATGTTTTGTACCTGGCTTTCCTACTAAGAACTTTGGTCTCTGACCAGCCCAAAAACAAAGAAAGCCCGTTTTAGAGACTAGAGTTACAACCAGTGAGTAATCACCAAGTTCATTCTAAACATTTTTATTTTTCCACAGATATCAGTTGTAAGCACAGATGATGATCTAGCTTGACTTCTGAGACCAGTCTCAACCTCTAAGGTATAAACCAATAATGCCCCACTTCGGAATGGTAACCAAGCCAGCAGCTGAAGTCTCTCTTCCTCCTGTCTGGAAGATTATCAAGATCTCTTTGCGTGGATCAAGCTTGTGTACTTGACCATTTTTATATGACTTTTGTAAATATTCTTGTCCACATTCTACTTCAGCTTTGGATGTGGTTACCAAGTATCTGTAACCCTTGAATTTCTAGACAGTATTGCCACCTCTGGCCAAATATGCACTTTCCCTAGAAAGCCATATTCCAGCGATGAAACTTGTGCTATAGTGTATACCACCTGTACATACATTGTATAGGCCACCTGTAAATATCCCAGAGAACAATCACTATTCTTAAGCACTTTGAAAATATTTCTATGTAAATTATTGTAAACTTTTTCAATGGTTGGGACAATGGCAATAGGATAAAACGGGTTACTAAGATGAAATTGCCAAAAAATTTGTAAACTAATTTTGTACGTATGAATGAAATCTTTGACCTCAATGGAGGTTTGCAAAGACTGAGTGTTCAAACTACTGTACATTTTTTTTCAAGTGCTAAAAAATTAAACCAAGCAGCTTAACCATGGTTTGTGCCTATTCCTCTCAGATGAACTGCTTGATGTAAACAGCCTGAGTAGTGTCAAGTGTTCTAACTGAATCTAGGAGCCACAGTTCTCTATCATGTGTAACTAAGCCTGTAATTGAGCTACTTTATCTTACAACCAAGTACTAACTAAAGAATACAGTACCATTTGATGTATTATCCCCAAATATTTCTTATTTTGTAAAAATAACTTTATTCTTGTTTACAAAAGAGTTCCTTTTTTCATTAATCTGTCTCCTTATCTACAAACATGAGCTAAGATTTCTATGAATTCTTTTACTTCATACTTAAGTCTCTGTTTTCCGTGTTCTGTCGTTATCTATGGGTCAAGGACAAGTGCCTTCTAAGGCATAGGGGGGACCTCTCTTATAAAAAGCCTGTTATCATCCCATGAAGATGGCTGAGGGGTATAATAAATAAGCAGTGCCACTCTTGAACAATCTAAGATGGTGTTTCTCAGTGTGAGTCTAGGAACAGCAGCATCAGCATCATTTGAAAACAATAGAAATGCAGATCCTTAGACCCAAACCCAGATCTACTGAAGCAGAAACTCTAGGGGTGGGTTCCAGGAACCTGGAACAAACTCTTGTGCTGATGCTCATGTAAACTGAAGTTGAAAACCTCTGTTCTAATGTGTTTTTTTTGTGGGGGAATATAATTAAAGCGTCTTCAAAATTGTCAGCCTACCTGGCATAGGACAGATTTCATCTATGGGCACCTTCCAGAACTTTTAGTATGAAGACCAGAAAAAGAGTTTGGAAAGAAGAAAAAGGACCAAGGGGAGCTTAGTGAATCTTCCATCAGGTTGGTCATCGCGTCCTTCCCCTGAAGTCTCAAGATGCCTGGAAGCAAAGAGATATGTAAGGCATGAAGCACTGAGAGGCTGCTCTACGTCCAACAAGAGTGGGGAGTCGACAGTGGAAGGTGCAGCAATCCCTCTGGGACTAAGTGACCAACACAGTAGCAAGAGGATGAATAGAAGATGTTTTGAGAAACTAAATGGATTGGTGAGGGTCTCATATTTCACTTATATATGGAATATAAGGCAGTTACCATTTTTGGTTTTGGCTTAGGAAAGGAGATCAATAATGCTAGAGGAAGGGGAAGTGGATTCGTCATTTTGTGGATGCTCCCTTGTGATTCTGTTCAAATGGACAGAAAGAGAAAGGACAGATTTGGGGCCTTTGTTTAGTGGGAGGTGTGGAAGTCAAGCATGTAAAAGGCAAAGGCTATCATAGTCATGGTAGGACTGTCTGCTATCAACTTCAGAAGGTACAGTGAGCACACAGAATGTGGCCTGGTGATAGAGAACGGTGTACTGCCTATTTGGTAAGTAGGTCAACAATCATCCTATCTAAACTCTGAAGGCCATTTCTTTGGTGTTTGATCCCACTGTGATCCAAATCCACTGATTAATTTTTTAATTGGCATACTACCAGGTTTGCTTTTAGAAGCTTAAAGATACCTGTGTTTTCTTTCCTCTTTTATGAGGTGACACAATAGTAATCAACTACAAGACCCAAAGTCATAGTTTTTGCAAATAAAATATTATTCAATATCACCTTCTGTAGAATTCCAATCTCCAGTGTCATCTTTCAGGTTCTGGGTACCAATTTCCAACCCAGAAAGAGTCTAAGGTTGTCTGTGTGTGTCTCTCTCTCTCTCTCTCTCTCTCTCTCTCTCTCTCTCTCTTTCTCTCTCTCTTTAACCTTATTCTCAATAAAAATCCAAGATACATCTCATTGTACCTAACTTAAGAAATTATGAGAGGTGCAAACTCTTTTGAAAACAACAAACTAACCAAATCTATTGAGATAAAAGTAATTATATGGCCAGACTGCTAATCAATTGAGCACGTAATAATAGTTCATGAGGGACTAGTGCCAAAGATGATCTTAAGGAATTCTATTGAGACGTGTTGGCGTAAGTTTGTTGTGTCTCTAGAGTTTAATGCAGGAGAAGAAAATTAAATAAGAGGAATGATACTGAAGCTTATTAAACACTAGGGAGAATATGTGGTGTTAAACGAGCTTGTTTCATGAAGTGACTGAAAGTGACTTTAGGAATTGGTACCAAGGAATGATTTATCAACAGATTTGTGGCCCCTAGTAAAGAAATCCAGCGAAGTCTCTGAATCCAAATTTGTAAGTGGCCTTTGCAAGCAATCAACTATTTGGCAAGAAGTAGTCCTAGTTGATCACTGGTCCATTAAAACATTCTCATAACTATTTGAAAGCCTTGTTATTATTTCTAAGCCTTTGGTTCTTTATTTTTATTCTAATTGTTATATATGACAGCAGAATGAATTACAATTCATATTACATAATAGAGCACAATTTTTCATATCTCCAGTTGTATAAAAAGTATATTCACACCATTCATGTCTTCATACATATACTTAGGGTAATGATATCCATTCCATTCAACCATCTTTTCTACCCCCAAGCCTCCTCCCTTCCCCTCCCATTCCTTTGCCCTATCTAGAATTTGTCTAATCCTCCCATGATCCCCCTTCCAACCCCACTATGAATCAGCCTCCTTATATCAGAGAAAACATTTGGCATTTGCTTTTTTGGAATTGGCTAACTTCACTTAGCATTATATTCTCGAGCTTCATCCATTTACCTGCAAATGCCATGATTTTATTCTCTCTTAATGCTGAGTAATATTCCAATGTGTAAATATACCACATTTTCTTTATCCATTCATCTACTGAAGGACTTCTAGGTTGGTTCCACAGTTTAGCTATTGTGAATTGTGCTGCTATAAACATTGATATGTCTATGTCCCTGTAATATGCTGTTTTTAAGTCCTTTGGGTATACACCAAGGAGAAGGATAGCTAGGTCAAATGGTGGTTCCATTCCCAATTTTCCAAGGAATCTCCATAATGCTTTTCATATTAGCTGCACTGATTTGCAGTCCCACCAGCAATGTATGAGTGTGCCTTTTCCCCCACATCCTCGCCAACACTTATTGTTGTTTGTATTCTTAATAGCTGCCATTCTGACTTGAGTGAGATGAAATCTTAGAGTAGTTTTGATTTGCATTTCTCTAATTGCTAGAGATGTTAAACATTTTTTTCATATATTTGTTGACTGATTGTATTTCACCTTCTGAGAAGTGTCTGTTCAGTTCCTTGGTCTATTTATTGATTGGGTTATTTGGTTTTTTGGTGTTTAGCTTCTTGAGTTCTTTATATACCCTAGAGATTAGTGCTCTGATGTATGAGGGGTAAAGATTCGCTCCCGGGATATAGGCTCTCTATTCACCTCATTGATTGTTTCTTTTGCTGAGAAGAAGCTTTTCAGTTTGAATCCATTCCATTTATTGATTCTTGATATTAATTCTAGTGCTATAGGAGTCTTATTAAGGAAGTTGGGACCTAATATGACACGATGGAGATTTGGGCCTACTTTTTCTTTTAATAGGCACAGTGTCTCTGGTTTAATTCTTAGGTCCTTGATCCACTTTGAGTTGAGTTTTGTGCATGGTGAGAGATAAGGGTTTAATTTCATTTTGTTGTATATGGATTTCCAGTTTCCCCAGCACCATTTGTTGAAGAGGCTATCTTTTCTCTAACGTATGTTTTTGGCACCTTTGTCTAATATAAGTTAACTGTAATTATGTGGGTTAGTCTCTGTGTCCTCTATTCTGTACCATTGGTCTAACAGTCTATTTTGTTACTATTGCTTTGTAGTATAGTTTAAGGTCTGGAAGAGTGATGTCACCTGCTTCACTCTTCTTGCTAAGGATTGTTTTAGCTATTCTGGGTCTCTTATTTTTCCAGATGAATTTCATGATTGCTTTTTCTATTTTTATGAGGAATGTCATTATGATTTTGCTTGGAATTGCATTAAATCTGTATAGTGCTATTGGTAGTATGGTCATTTTGACAACATTCATTCTGCCTATCCAAGAGCAAGGTAAATCTTTCCATCTTCTAAGGTCTTCTTTGATTTCATTTTTTAGCATTCTGTAGTTTTCATTATAGAGGTCTTTCACCTCATTCGTTGATTCCCAAGTTGGTTTTTTTTTTTTTATTATTTTTGAGGCTATTGTAAATGGGGTAGTTTCCCTTTCAGAGGATTTATCACTGATATATAGAAATGCCTTTGATTTATGGGTATTGATTTTATATCCTGCTACTTTGCTGAATTCATTTACTAGTTCTCAAAGTTTGGGGGTGGAATTTTTTGGAGGGATAACAGGAATATATCTCAACCTCATAAAGGCTATCTATGCCAAGCCCCAGGCCAACATTGTTCTAAATGGAGAAAAAGTGAAAGCATTCCTTCTAAAAACTGGAACAAGACAGGGATGCCTTCTTTCACCAATTTTACTTAACATAGTTCTTGAAACACTGGCCAGAGCAATTAGACAGCCTTTGGTTCTTGACGAACACAAGGCAAAATAATTGAGGCTTCAGAAACTTTGGCACTTGTTTGTTTCATTCATCTTTTGAAGTCAGCCTCTTCAAAAACAGAAGACGGGCTTGAGATAGCATGACTATAGGGCACTTAAAGAAGTAACTTTCCAGTTAAGAACACTGTAGAGATTCAAGAACAACCTAAAGTCTAGCTTTTAACTGTCTTCAACTCAAACCAAAAAATTCTTGCAGGGTTTCTCTTGTATCATGTGATTTCCTAGAATTCTTACCAAGTGAAGTCTTTCCTAATTAGTTTGTTATTTTAAACTAAATAAAAGATAGTCTACTTTCTTTTAATATCAAAAAAATATAGATCCTTTTACTAATTTAGGCTCAAGAATAAAGAGTATACTTTGCTTACCTTGATTTCTAAATTTGAGTCCTTCGGTTTTATGATCTTTTTGGGGGGGTAAATTGTGAATTATGCATTCATTTTGCAGCTATATTATGGACCTGACCTGTGGGAATTCTGCGATTCACAGAGGAAATTTTCAAAGGTATCTTGTTTAAAGATACAGGGAAATGAATTGGAAGACAAAACAATGATTTTATTGTTTGCTTAGTTGTTTTCTGTTTCTTTGGTCATTTGGTTTTTCCACTTATTTCTGTCAACCCATAGTGGACTTTTCCAGCTCCAAATAGTTGTTTGTGAAGGAGAATCACTCATGTTTGTATATACCTCATTCACATTGACCTTCACATATGGAAAGCTGAATCTAAGTTAGCAGTGGGGGCCTACTATGAAGTTTGGAGACCCATAGATAAGGACCATCACTCTGGGGTGGCTCTTGGACCTGTCTAGTGTTTTTGAACTTGGTTCATCCAAGAAACAGGAATGAAGTTGGACCACAGCTCAGAATCCCCGGAAGATCTTCCATCCACAAACACTAATGCAAGAGTAAGACAAGTTGAGGTTGGGGAGTTTGGTTTCCTTCAGATGGGAAGTCTGGAGCAGTAGGCAGCATGGTCAACAGCACAGACTCCTGTGTTGGTCTTGTGTGTTGTAGTTAGGCAAGTTACTAAGCCTCTCTGCAAAATGGAGAGGAAAGGCACCATTTCACTGTGACATGGTAAAGAGTACGAGCAATGACTGAACTCAGCATTTAGCATCCATGCAGGTCAAACACCACTATTGAATATAGCTATCAATGCTGGACATCAGTGTGTAGAAAGCACAGTCCAGAAAATGTAAGTGACTTTACCAGTGAATTTTACAAGTAACTTTACTGAGTCTACTGTGTATTTGACTGTTATCCAAGTGCTCTCCACCACATCTCTCCTTTGAGATCTAAGTCTGAAATGTAGACAGTGATGTGACCGTGTATAGTTAAAACGTCTTAAAGATTTACATGGTTTAAACCCTAAAACCACAGCTGGTACATGACTGCTTCAATCTTGATTAACTTACTACCTAGGAATGGAGATAAACATTTGAGGGCCTACATAGTCTTTAGATGGTCACTAGAGCACTCGAAATCACCCTTAAGTTCCTACCACATGCTTGCTTAATGTTGTGCTGAATAAATGATTTCATGTCTCTTATTGGATTTTCACAAAAACCACCAAAGGCATGTATTATCTTCATTTTACAGATGTGAAAACTGAGGCTACAAACAATGTGAGATTCTAGTCCCCTGAGCTTACTGCCAACCCCTCCCAGAAGAGGATGCTGTGCTGTGTGAAGGTTAAGCTGGAAGTCACATTATGTTTGCTGAGTCCCCTTTACTACTAATTTTTGGGTCTTCAGCAGTTTCTTGGGTGTCTCAGATATCCTTCTGATCTAGCGGTATGTAGAAATATAAAGCTAGCACTACTACTTCAGTACAATATAGAATAACTGTCCTATATCATGCCTTTAAGATGCTAGACATTCCAGAATTTTGGCCATTCAAGTGAAGTGAAAATAGATTTCTGGATTATATTGAAAAAGATTCCCTAAAGGACTGTATAGAAAGTCACATCATTCCTAAATGTAAGATATTGGAGGAAAACAAGCTATAACACTATGAATCCTAATTTCTAAGGCTCTCATATAGGCCAAGACATGGTCAAGAGGATAGGAAGAATTGCAGTTTTTCAACTGAATGATGTTGCTATATAACTACAGAATTGGCTCTTAAGCATTCTAGGTCCTAATTCATACCTGGGTATTTCTCAATTTACTCACATGCATAGGGAGAAAAAGACTTTTTTTTTTAAACAAAACTA